CCCAATAGAAATCTCAATCTGCATGCTAATCTCATCTGAGGACCTAATACACTCATGTGCCGTACCCTCACTAGGCCTAAAAACAGAAACAATCCCAGGACGCTTAAAACAAGCAACCCTAACAGCCACAAGACCAGGCCTATTCTACGTACAGTGCTCAGAAATCTGTGGTTCAAATCACAGCTTCATGCCTATCATACTTGAACTAGTTCCACTGAACCACTTCGAGGACTGATCAACCTCAATGCTATAACCACATTGTGAAGCTAAACAGCATTAACCTTTTAAGTTAAAGAATGGAAGCATTGCCTCCCCACAATGAAATGCCACAACTAGACACCTCAACATGACTCACCATTATTACCTCCATAATCTTGACTCTCTTCATCATACTTGAACTAAAATTCTCAAAATTTACCTACCCCTCTGATCCTACAGAAAAACCATTAAAATATCAAGCCCCATAAACGCCAGAGAATACAAATGAATGAAAATCTATTTGCCGTTTTCATCACCCCTGCACAAATAGGTATGCCCATCATAATCCTCATTATCCTTCTGCTCAAGATAATATATCCCTCCCCCTCTCACCTCATCAACTACTGTTAACCTCCCTACAAAAATGGTAAATCCAATTCATCCTAAAACAACTAATATCAAACAACAACCTGGGTTATAGGGACAGAAATAAAGAGGATGAGCTATGGTTGTAATAACGTTTTGTTTCTTGATGTGGGTCTTCTTGCTAGGTGGTGGGGTTCACTTTGTGAACCTTCACTGAGCTGAAAATTTATGATTTATGTCTCACTTCAAAAGAAAGTTTACACAAAATTTAAAAATCCCACAGTACTGACTACAGAAGTTTTCTCATTTCTTCCCACCCAGGGAAAGAGTGGCAAGCTGGGAATGGTAATTAGAGTGGGGGTGGGGTACAGAGAAAACCAATAAACAAAACACAGGGCCCAGAAATGGAACCATAGATTAAAAAAAATAATACAAATTAAATCTAGTTTAGTTAATCTAGTTTAGTTCAGACAAGCTGGATAGAGGGGGAATGTTAAGAAGTTTGTTTGTTTGTTTGTTTCCATGGGCTGGGAAAAGGTAATGTTACTTCTAGGAATCCGTTTAAAACATTACCAGCAGGATAGCAGACCGATATGGCACTAACAGTTAAAAGTAGACTATTACACTGACCATGTGGTGTACAGATTAGTATTGGGCTTTCTACCTTCCTGATCTGCACTACATTGGGGAGGATGAAAAAAGACTGCAAACCCAAAAGACACAGGCAAAATGGAGCCATCCAGTTCCCTTACCTTTTTAAACATTTTCACTGCAGTGTTCAAGGCCTTAATCTTCCTAAAGCTGCAGCAAAGGCTGGTCCTACCCATGTGGGAACCACTATATGCTGTGCAGCAGGTCTCTCAGAAGTTGCAGGAGAGGGCCGGCCCGGTGGCGCACTGCTACAGTGCGCCGCTTGGGAATGTGGCGGCGCTCCCGCCGAGGGTTTGGATCCCACATACAGACCGGTTCCCGCTCACCGAGGGTTGCGATCCCGTTGCCGGTCCCGGTCCGGTACGGGCGCAACACTGAGGGTTGCGGTCTGTTGCCGGACACGAAAAAAGACAAAAAGGAAAAAAAAAAAAAAGAAGTTGCGGGAGAGATTAGGCTCAGTGCAATTGAAGGTGTCATGCATAACACTTGGCATCAGCAAGATGTATTAATACATTTATTTCTGGATATGAGTAACAATGATTTTCTTATTTTCTGATATTCCTGTTCCATTAGGGGCTAGAAGCATATGTTAAAATAGTGATTATATTTATTCACTTGTCCTGTAAGATTTAATATCTCACTGATATAGAAAACTGGCTTTCTGACAAGTGCAGTTAGATATGTCCTTGCTACTTACTTCTATCTCCTTTAAGAAATTTAGTGTTCTTCTTTACCACAGCTTGACATGTTATTTTTTTGGTCTTTTTTTCCCACACAGAAATGAATAAGAACCATTGAAATGGAAACTCCACAGAAATGTAATGTTATTAAATCTCCTGTATTCAAACATAATAATATAAAATACAAGGTATCTGCCTTCTTTCAGTATCAATTTACACTAACCAGGTGTTGCTAATGTTCTAAGAATGTATTTGCACACAAAAGACAAATTGGATTTTACCTTTTTTTTTTGACAGAATAACTCAATTTGAAATAAAATATTCAAGGTAGATGTTTGTTGTTCAAATACATTTAGTAACATGAGAAGCATAAAGTATTTAAGTAAATAATCTATTTAATTTCTCAAAAGGTAGGATTTCTGAAACTAGAGTTTTATCCTGTAAAGATGAGAGGTTGGGAACGTTCTGTTTTGCAAAGGCTTTTTTACATATTATGTAATTATTCATGCCTTCCATAAAGAAGGAAGATTTAGTACATGCCAGAGACCACTTATTTTTTGTAGATAATTACTGACTATTTTCTACTTACAGAGCCTCATGATATTGTAAACAGGGCTTTGCCATCGCAGAGTGCCTGAGTAGTTTTCAGAATTCCTGAGTAATTAAATATAAATATAATTATTTTATAATTGACATGGCATACTTATACAAATTGTGTTATATAATTTTTCAAAAGAGTAATTTGAAATTATTAATGTCACTTTATAGAGGAGGAAACACAGTGACTGAATGAGTGTAAGTTACTTCTCTGAGATCACACAGCCTGCAAAATCTGCATCCAGAACTTCATATGCTTTCCAAGACCCTTTACCATCTTACAGTTTGTAATCCCTTTATTTAAGGAATAAAGACTGTTCTTTCATTCAGAACTTGCAGTAATCAATATGTAGTACATATATGTACAGTGATAATTATTACAGAACACATTTCAAATGTCTTAAGAAAGACTCATGTGAATAACATCTAAATTTAAAGCAAAATGTGTTTTTGAGACACATAAAATTTGAAATCCAGAAAAAAATAAAAAATAAAATACTACTATATAAACACAATTATATTCTTTATTATATAAAAACTAAATTTTCTTTTTTTTAGAAAAAAGTAAAAAAACAGATTTTTACTTACACATTTTCAAATTACCATATCTTCAAAAACATAAGCCAATTTTGATTACCTTGCATATGGCTTATTGATACGTGTGGTATTTTCAACATCTTCCCTGTAGACCAATTCTATGAAGAATTTTTAAAGTTTAAGGGATGGAAAATTGGATGAAGACTTTTTCCACATCACGAAAAGAAAAATGTACATATACAAATTGTACTTGTAAAAAATTAGATTAAGTTCAAAATAGAGTAAGGGTATTTCTGTACCTATAACTTGGCATAGGTGATTGCCCTTTTTCTTGCTTATTCCTGCAATGCTTTTCCTCCATGAATTCTATTGCATCTCACCCTCACTTCACTCAGGTCTCTGTACAAATGTCACCCTTTCATTTGAGACCTTCCTGGCTACTCCATTTAACTGTGAAACCCCACTCTATTTATCAGAACTATCTATTCTTCTTTTTCTGTGTAGCATAAATCACAGTCCAACATCCTATATATTTTATATATTTGTTTTATTCATTGTCTCCTGTTATTAGAATAGGAATACAATACAGATTTTTATCTGTTTTGCTCATTGTTATATTCCTAGTACCTAGAAAAGTCGCAGGCATTGGCTTGGTGCTAAATAAATATTTTTTTTCACAAAGAAAGCAGGAAGGAAGGAACAGAGGGAGGGAGGGAAGCCAAAAGGTGTGTAAAAAGACAACATTCTGCATGTTTCTTCTGTGAGAAAGTATCATTCATAGCAGCAACTGTTAACTCCACCTATGAATGAAAGCCCCTGGGTATTACTGACAGATCTGAAGGAAAAATCATTTGGGAAAGAAGAAAATAGAAAAGTAAAGGAAGACAGGCTCACAAGACTCAGAAAGAGAAGTAATAAGAACAACCAACCAGAAATAATCTTGACAATTTGCATTATTTTGTTCGCTCCTCAAAAGGACTCTTTAAGGCAAGGAAACTTGAGGCTTGCCAAGGGATACAGAGAAATTAAGTTGAGAGGCAGTGCTAGCCCAAGCACCCAGAGAAGCCTAAAGATAGAGAAAGAGTGAGGGTAGGTTATAAACTCAGGGTTTCTAATGCCTAACTCAATGTTTTTTAAAGTTTTCTCCATGCCGGAAAAAAAAAAAAAAAAAAAAGCTGGGGACCCTTCCAGCTCAAGCACCCTTCAGTGGTTTAGGATGTTGGGGCTCCTCGTCAGAACCAGCTGCATCAGGACCATGGATGACCTCTCTGAAGGTTAGAAGTCCCAATAAGATCCCATAGGTTTTATGGGCCCCACTCGTAGAGTAGTCCTCAAAGGTGGAAGTGAAAATACTCGAAATAAGGAATGGGGACCTCCAAAGACCATACTCCAGTTGTGGCTATGTATGTCCCAGTCAAAAGCAAACGTGGAAGCACATCTATTCAAGTATAGCATTGGAATTCTTAAACAAAATATAACAAAGTTTAAAAAAGAAAAAGAAAAACAAAAACGATAAACCAAGGATGGAAAGTAAATCATGTATCATCTCAAATATTTGCTAGGGTATTTTGGGGCAATGTTATAATTTATCCTAGTAAAGGTAGTTTCATTTTTTTGAAGTTTGATTTACACATTGAAAAGCTATTGTCTAAATAGACATGAGATTATTTGCATTGAGACAATAACATACATATTCATACCACCACTTCACTTTTTAGGAATTTATCCAATGAGAATAACCAAGGGATTGTAGAGAGATGTAATAAGTACATTTACTACAGCTTTGCATATGCAGTGGAAACATTTTGAAGAATAGGTATGAATAAGAATAAATAAGGTATCTGGAGTTATTAATAAGAGAAAATTGTAGAGACTTACCTAGAATTTTCTGTAGTATGAATTCCATTCTCCCCAGTAGGACTGAAATATATAGTCTTGCAGAGGATAAGATATTGTATTTTTAACCCTTTCGCCAAAGGTCATCTGGTCAGTGAGCTCTGACAAGGCTGCAGGAACATAGGAAGCTGGTGCTGGGATTTTCCCACAGTGTCTCTCCACTGTTGAGGCTGGAGAGAACCTCAACGTGAATATAAATGGAATTCCTAACTTCAGAGCAACTAGGTCACCACAGATTGTCACTGGGTCTGCTACCAACACAGCAAAATCTCCTTTGTGAAGTTTTGCCATTAACTTGGAGTTGTTTAATACACCATCGCAGATTTGTATATTAATTCGAAAGAAAGTATCTAGGAGTTTTCCTAGTTCTTTGTAGAAAGCCCATAGTGTGAGAGGAGTTGGTCTATGATCTATCCACAGCACTATCATATGTTCAATTAAGGAATCTATATTGCTCTTCTTGTAAGAAACAGGTATCGTTTCAAAATTCACAGGAGAATCAAAATTGGAGTTGATGAATAGAGTTGCTGATGAAGCCAGTACAGTCACGTTGTGATTTCTTTGAATCAACTCTTCTAGAATGAGCTTAATATTTAACCAATGGCTACCATCTGTAGGCCAAATTAGCACATTCCCACTTAGAACAATTTCAGTCAGAGCCAAATGAACCATCAGCAGCTTGACAAACTTCTTAGGCATGGTAATATCCTCTATGGAAACCATTCTACTGTAGACCTTATAAGATGAAAGGAAACCTTCAAAGTCAATTCGGGTAGTTTTTTTTTTCAAATAAAATAATATTTAACGTGATGCTTATACTTATTCACATGTAGATTAAAAGGAAAATAATATAATTCTAATTCTTCCATGCATTAACATGATTATGGCAACAACAGAAATGAAATCTGGTCCTATTGTAAAGAAAAAGAAGCAGGGAAGTTATAAGCCTAGAATCTCCATACGCTTTGATAATAACTATGATTTATAAAATGTCTTCAATATATCATTCCCAAAATAAGGTTAAAAGAAAAATAAAATTCTTTTACTGCAAAAGTCACTTTGTCAAACTTATAGCACTTTCAAGTCAGATGTCTTCGTTATAAGCTATTTTTCCATGCATTGTCTTATTCAGTCCTTTTCACAGTCTTGTTTGGAAGAAGTTATTTCCTCTATTTCACAAATAACAAAACCAAAGATCAGTTTCATACCCAAAAGCATATGACAAAGTAATATAATTGGGACTATAGTCATAACATCTGACCCATTGCTGGACCAACATTATTATCACTTCCCTATGGCTCATATTCAAAAGAAAAATTAAAAAATAAAAATTTTAATCCTTCATTTAGAGAACGTTTACTCAAACATTCCAAGATGTTCTAGGTTTACTGGGATATAGAGTAAACCACTACACATTGCTAGAGGGTAGTTTTATTCTCTGACAAAGCAAATTGATCATTGCCTCCTATCCCCTTGTTACAAGGAATTTTTCACTTTCTTCCATATAACATTTTTATACACAAATCAAGGAGACAGGGCATAGAAACACAGTCTATTTTACTCAAAACCATGTAGTAGATGAAGTTAGGTGGACACTGGAGTTCAATGGCTCAAGATTCAAAATCTCCTTTTTGAAGATTTGTGACCCTGGGGAATTAATAAGACCCTCTCAGCCTCAGTTTTCTCAAGTGTACATGAGACTTAATGACATGGATTTGTTATAATACTTTGTGTGTTAGCAATAATATCTGCAGAACTACGTCGCAAACTGCTTGATTCAGAGCAGGGGTGTAGTGATGTTGGTGGCTTAATGAATTTACCTAAAGATTGATCAGTAAATCAGTGGGCTGGCGACAGAACAACCGGCCAGACATGGACATAATGCTATCAGGTGCAATTCTTAGTGACTCTCAAATTGAACAAGAGCAACTGTAAAATGATGTGATCTTAAAAATCACTGGAACCTGCCATTAAAAAGAAAAACAAGAAAAAATAAAGTGAGCTAAAGGATAGAAACCAGAAATTAAGAACGTCAATTAAGTGGCAGTTCTTCTCTTCACAGTAGGTTGTCCTTGGATTGTGTAATTTCAGGGCCGTGAGTAACCAAAGGACAAGGAAGACAGAAAGGGAAAGAGGGGAGAGAGAAGTGATGCTTTTAGAATTAATGCATTTGTGTCCTCTCAGGACTCAGCCTCAATTTGGATATAATATCAGCACCTTTACATTAATTAGGTTTTGAAACAAAACAGCCAGAGAAGAATGGGAATAATCTTGATGGCCATTAAAGTTGGCCTACTTAAGAGATTTTTAATATTGATAAAGAAACCTGTTGCTGTCATGTACTTCCAAAGAAAAAAAGAGAAAGTACACCATCATATGAGATATAAATAAAACTTTCTCCACAAAATATTTAAATTTATCCAATTATTGAAGTCCATGTAAGTAAAATATAATAATTAAAGATTACTCACTAAGGATCGTTATGATAGCACTTAATTAATAGCTTATCAAAATATATCTCAGAATCTCAAATGCATGTAGGCACCCCTGGATTACCTGAAATTTTTTTTAAAATGGAATTTCAAAGGGTCATTTTGCCATTATTAAATGATCTCTGTGGGGCAACAAAATAATTATCTAATTTAATGAAGAACAATAAAGTGTGTATAATTTTATTAAATTGAAAATCCTTAAAAGAACATTTTTATATGAAAGGTCTTCCTTAATTTTTTTTTTTTTTTTCCCCGTAGTCATGCCCTTGACTGAAGGTCTCCTCTTCCTGTGCGCTCCCTGAGCCTTGCACTGGATGACTAGGATTTAACTGTGCTGACTTTTTTTTATTTTCTCTCATATTCGAATTTAACTGTGCTCATTCTCTTTTCTTTGTATCCTAGGGGCTATAGAAGCATGGAAACCAGCCTTCATACTGTTTTAGAAACATGAATGAGCAACTCCTTACAAACCTTAAAATTTTCACCTGGCATAAGTGTTTCAGTTTAGTTTGAGTTCCTTGATTGGTATTTAATTAATTCTTTGAAAGTTTGAAATAAGAAGTACTTTCATTTTTTCCTGTGTTTTGTTCTATAGAAACTGTGTATGTCCTAGGGCTTTCTTTTTAGCTCAAGTCTGACATCAAATGATTCACCACTTTCTAGATTGGAACCTCTGGCAAGTCACTCAGCCTCCTCATTTTCAAAGTGGTGAGAACATTGGCACCTCCTTCCTACAGCTGTGAAGACGAGTGAAATAATGCATGTAAAATTATTCAGAACAGCATCTGTGCTCAGTACATGTTAGCTGTATATGGTATCCCAGAGAGCGAATATTACTTTTAAAATGTTCAAATGAATCAGATCTCATCATCTTGATCTCCTCTCTTCCCCTCCTCCTACGATGGCAGACTGAGGTACCAGGGCTTTGGTGCAGGATTCCCCAGCACTGAGAGTTCCCCTGCAAGAGTCAGTCACACTCAGTCTTAAGGCACATCACACATGATCTGTTAGTAATAGTATATTGAGTACCAAAGTTCACAAATAATTTACTTTAATAAATACACATAAAACTCAAGATCCTCCTCATAAAAATGATAACCTCCATTCCCTTTCATTCAAATAATCCTTTCATGAATTTGAGCAAAAGAGATAGAACGATAGCTATCCCTGGGAATTTTGAATGACCCACAGCCAATTTCATCTTGAATGTCATGCCTGTGGCTGTCATCTGGTTTATGAGTTGTTGTGGAAAAGGGAATGCTACGCGAGGGTTTTTGAAGGATTAATTTAAACTTTAGAAAATGGAGGAAGAAAGTAAAGGAAAGAGGGAAGAAAAAAAAAAAGATTAGGAAGAAAGAGAAAAAAGAAAGGAAAGGACTCCAATACATTTTTTCTCCTTTAAAATTACTACTGGGAATCAAGCACCATGGACATATACACACTCAAAGGTATTTCATTTCTAGCACTTTATTTACATTAATTACTCATGCTCAGTGAGTACCTAGTTCATGCAAAGATCTTAATATTAATAAGATTACTCTTTTTGAGGATCTGCTATTTTTCCCACTTGTTAAAATATATATGAAAGATCGTACATTGTTATTATAGATGACATTAGTTCTTAGAGATTATTCACCTATTCACATACAATAATGTCATATTATAAGTTTATATAAATCTAATACATAAAGATTTTTCACAAGAAAGCCTGCTTATTTTTATAGTGGTCAAATGGGAAACCTGTTGGTAACAATATGTAATGTTAATGAATTATAAGTATTTTTACAGTAATAAAAATGCTACATTTTTGTTGTTATTATAAAAATAGAAATAAAAATTTACCTGTCTTCATTTTAAACACACATATTGAAATCTGCAGAAGCCTTTTCTTACTTTCAGTTAAAGATTGCTGATGAAGCTCTCTTAGAGTGAGAAAGATGTCCTCAGACAAGCCACCTGACAACAAACATGTAGGGACCTATGCCTTAAGGAATAGTAAATCGCCTAGTAATTACATGGCCCAATTAAACTTCATTCAGCAAATTAAAAATAGGCATAAAATAGGATAGCATATTTCAAAAGCTAAATACATTGGAAGGAAGAAAAATACCCAAGAAAGTGTAAATCTAAAATATGCTGAATAATTGATAGAAATCCACAGGCAATTTAAAAAGGAGAGAAAAAAATGTCTAGATGTAGGAAATACGACATAGAAGCTTGATGTGAGAAAGATTTTCGTTTGAATACTCTTTTCTTAAACTAGTAGCTGTATGATTTTATTTATCGTGCTTGATATTCCCAAGCTTCAATATTCTCGTGTGATAATAGTTTTTTCTTTGCAATGAGCTATAACAAATTTATTTCAAGGATTAAGTGACAGAATATATGTAAAGAACTTATCACATTGTCTAATGCATTGGAAGAGGTTAATAAATGCTAACTGCTATTACCATTATGATATCCGTGAGTCTGAGCCAAATACCCATGATCTGAAATAAAATAAATAATTTCGACATTGTAATATCCAATTCGTAGCAATCAGCAGAGATTAAGGACTCACTCTGGGGTTCTTATTGCAATCCACTGCAGAGAAGTAATCTTCAGGAAAGTTGTTCTATTATTTACTCAGGTAAATAATTTGAGACCTGAGTGGACATGGATTTATTGTAATGCCTTTGATTAGAGCATTTTAAGCAAAAGTAGAAGATCAATTCAAATTACCAATTGGAAAAGAGTTATTTTTAAAATTCAGTACCATTTATCTTTCTCATTTATATTTCTATATCTACAGCATCTTGCACAAAAACGCGTTGCTCCATCATGTCAGAACTTTTGCTTCTTACCTGGTTCTTTGAATATGAGTGTTCATGTCCCTGGAATCAACAAGAATATTGTGTTTTTGTAAAGACAAACTTAAACAGTCATTCCAAGCCAGAAGAGTGTAATTTGATTAGAAATATGATATATCAAAATCGGAGTGTGAGAACATCTTTATAAACCTCTGTTATGTTCCCATGAACAAATTGTTAAGAAAGATTAGTCTCATATCTTAAAACTAGAACAGTGTGCTTTTATTATGAGTATTAACTTACCGGCAAAATACATTGGAGCATGTAGTTCTGAGACTGACAACCTTGGGAAGGTAAACTGGCAGATAACCTCACATATATGAATCAGGAGCATCGTAATCATGAGAATTATAATTCCAAGGATGAAAATGAGTAGTTGATAAAAATGGAAGGGATGGGATACAAATGTTAATATATACTGTGACCAAGGAATTCTCCGTGTATATTCTGCTCGTACACTAATGGCGATGCTGCATGCATTCAGATGTCACTGTTAGTTATTATATTCATGAGAACATGGAGTTTTTGCGATCTTGACAGCTTCATTGCTTCACAAAATTTCCATTTCTTCTTCTTTCTCTTCATTTTTGTTAATATCCAGTTTTAGCCCTACGATGTTCACTTCTTTCTTCATTTCTGTCTTCACAGGACGTCTGCAGGTTTATCTGTAGTCTTTGTAGCTATGCTTGTTTTTTCTGACTCACAGAACGAGTTGGTCTTCCTTTATATCCCAGGAGATTAACATCTGTTTTTGAATTTTGAGCCATCTAGTTAATACTCCCAGAAGAGATGATGTCTTTAACTATCAGTGTTAGTTACAATTGGCTCACCAGTTTTTTGTCATATATATCCACCTGTAGTATATCGTACCCTCATCCACACACTAACCTACTTGTACTTATTTTGATTAACATAGATCAATTTTACAATTATTTTAGAAAACAGGTTTATAGAAAAGAAGCCCATTTGTCAGTAGTTATCACTACATAGGACCCTCAAATTTTCTCTTTTCAGCATTCATTCAGCCCGCTATTTTGCACAGTACATTTTATCATCTTTAAATGATTTTTAATGGCATTTAGGATTTTCAATCATTAGTTAGTAATCATTTCTCAACTTTACAAACTGCTTAGAAGACATTGTGATCTCTTCAGTATGTATACAATATTCAATTCTTTGAATATTCTTTCAATCTTGACTTTAGTATTTTGTTAAAATAAGTGAAAGCACAAACGAATTTGTTGATATTAATGACGAAAGGTTAAAGCCTCAAACCTTAATAGCAATTGGAATAATACAACTTGCCAGGAACGACAAACAGTTCACCTCTATCTGATTATCTCTGGATTTAGGTCTGTGCTTGTGGGGTTTATCATGAAATCAAAGTAAAATATTGAATCCATAGCATATATGACTAAGTACAAAGTATGAGCTGTAACTATGTGCTGTGAAATAAACCTGGGAGGATAATCATGTTTACAACATGTAAGTGCATAGCTTGACTTTAAATCATTTGATTGTTGTAAGTTTCCAGAATGTTATGTATGAAAGCAGAAACATAGCAAGAAACCTGCATGTAATAGGAAAATAGAAGACAAGGAAATGAGGTTACTTTCAGAGAGACAAAATTATTTACATATCAACCTTATGTGGAAGACACTTAAATCTCTAACCTATGACAATCCCTCTTATATCTTACTGGACTTCTGTACCAAATCTTCTGAAAAGCACTTCACATACATGTCCAAAATTAAATGCATTATTCCCACGTCCCAGTTTTCTCTCTCCCATATTTACTATCTCAGGTGACTGTGCCATTAATGATATACCGAAATCAGTAAACCCTCATCCCTCTTAACACTCCTCACCGAACAGCCATCATCTTCTATTAATTTCACCAGATAAACAGCTAACACTAGTTTAATGGTTGCTATCTCCCAGACACTCTTCTAAATTTCTTAAGTTAGTCCTATTACCAGCCCTATAACAGATGGAATGAATGAAATGCAGGCACAAGGAGATTGAGTTACTTTTCCATGGCTGCAAACTGGTAAGCAGAAATTGTGTATCAAGAGCCTGCTCTCCTAATTGTTTTTCTATGTATTCTCACACTGCATTATTTTTCTCCATTTATTAGCTGCTTCCCTAGTACATGCTCTTACCACAGTCTGCCTGGATTCATGGAGTAGCTTAATATCACCTGGCTCCACTCTACCACCACGTCCGTCCAGGTATTTTATATAAAATGGAAATCTAGTCATAATATATCACTTTAAATGGTTCACAATTGATGGTTAGATAAAAACCAAAGTTCTTAGCCTAAGATATAAGAGACTTTGAAAATATATACTGAATTAATTTACTCGTTCTTCCAATCCTGACAGCACCACAGTTTTTGTCGTCCTTCTCCATGCCTCCCAAACTTACACTTCACCCTTCAGGGCACTAAATCGTCAGTAAAATCCAGCACACCTGAGCTATTTCAAGTCTTCAGCTTTGGACACACTGCTTCCTTTCCCACACTTACTTTGCAGAAAAACTTATATTCACTGTTTAAAAATTTGCTTATGCATCATGTCAACTCTGAAGTTTTGCAGAATGCCTCTTTCTCCTGGTCACACAGTGCCTTTCTCCTCTACAATAAATCTGAACTTTGTACATATTTCCTTTACCCACATAGTTCACAATATAAATATTCCTTTTCATGTCTGATATCTCTGCTTATCTGTGAAATCCTAGAAGCCAGGGACTTCATCTTAGTCTTTACCCTTCCTAAGAGAATGCCTAGTAAACAGTAGAAAGTCTACAATTAGTGAAGAATAAAAAATAAAATTCAGAGACATGAGAAATGGACAAAGCTAACTTGAATTTTAGACTAATATGTGCATAAACATATCAACATGATCAATATAGATTTTTTTTTTCCTTTTTGTCTTTTTTTACTGAGCGGTAACGGGATCGCAACCCTCAGTGTCGCGCCCGCACGGCGCTCAGCCAGTGAGCGGGAACTGGTCTCCACATGGGATCCGAACCCTCAGCGGGAGCGCCACTGCGCTCCCAAGTGGCGCACTCTCCAGTGCACCACCGGGCCGGACCCAATATAGATTTTTTGATGCTAATAAACTTTGGTTATATTTTTATCCATCAAGTAAACACTGTATCACACTTAAGCAGTTCAAATAAGCTTAACATCAATAAATTTTCCTGATCAATGGCAGTGTTTTCTCTTAAATTCATGCCTTATAAGTAAAGGTGATAATGCCTTAAAGTATTTTTGTTTACTTCTTAACATTAATCTTTATTAAGCAATGATCAGAGATTATTCATATACATGTATGTTCTTAAACATACACACACGTATATCTGAATTGATAATGGGCTTACAGAAAGTTTAACCTCTTATAGCTTTCTCCGCAAAACACTGCAATTTCTGGGAAATTTCTACTTAAGATCCAGTCCTATTTTAAAACTAAAGTATTTGTAACTATATTTTAAGCATAAAAAAACTTAGTTGGTATTTTCAAGTTCATAAAATCAGAAATTGGCACACTTTAGTTTTGAAGTATAATGCCATTTATGTTATTTCCTGCCATCAAGTGATAGTAGTAGACAGTATCTCAATCAATACACAGAATTGAAAAAAAATAAATATAGGGAATTAAAGAGGTGACAAAAAGTTCTGTTTGTTCAAATCCAAATAAAACACAAATTGTTACATACCTAAAGCCTTGCTGTAGTAGGAATCCCATGATTTCCAAAGAGTTTCAAACATGTAGTCCTGCAGATGGTAGGAGATGAAATTTCTGATTCTGTCAGAGAAAGTCATCTGGTCGGTGAGTTCTGACAAGATAGCAGGAACGTAGGAAGGAGGGTATGGTACTTTTCCACAGTGCTTTTCCACTGTTGAGGCTGGAGAAAACCTCAGAGAGTACATAAATGGAATTCCCAGTTTTAAAGCTACTATATCACCACAAGGAAACACTGGATCTAATAACAGGACCTCAAACTTCCTTTTCTTCAACTTTTCCATCAGCTTTTGGTTTTCAAGAACACCATCACAGATCTCTCTAGACACCATGTGGAAGTCCTCGATGACTATGGCCATCTCCTGATAGAATCTCCAAATGGTTGAAGGAGATGGTCCGTTTTCCAGCCATGTCAAAACAAAGTTCCTGATCACTCCTTCTATTCTTTCTTTGCCAAAGGACACCTTATACATTTCAAATGTCAGAGATGAGTTAGAGGTCGGCGTAATGAAAAGTGCACCAGATGCAACCAGCACAGTCACATTATGCTCTTTTTCAATGAGCTCATCAATAATTATCTTAATATTCAGCCAATGACTACCTTCCATTGGCCAAATTAGAACATTCCCACCAAGAGTGGTTCTTAGGAGGCTTATCTGAAGAGACAATATGAGAATGTTGTTTAACATGATGTGGCTTGATGCAGAAGATAATGAGATGTGAAAGAGTTCCCTGCTGTCTAAACAGAAAGGAAAGGCAAAAATATTTCTCAGTTTTGTTGCAAACCATTGAAACCCTTAAGAGCCTTCTCTTTACCAAACGATATTAGTCATAGGAGCTCCGTATTTTACAGTTATTGTAGGTTTAGGTGTAATGCGTCTTATGTCTCCAACTGTTGCTTTACCTTTGGTTGAGTTCTGCTCTCTAATCCTCCCTTTGAATTTGATCCTTCAATCCTTTCTCTGTGTCTCATAATTGTTCATCTTTTACCATTAAATTGCTTGAAGCCGCTGTATATCTCAACTCTACACTCAGGCCTAGTTACTGAAACCTCATCTAGGACCAAAACTCCCTCAGAAATGTTGGTATGCTAATTCTATGTTTTTTTTTTTTAAATATTGAATACATTTAAATAATTCTATTAGCAACAATTAAACTACGATAATAGCTATTTATAAATCAGATTATTACAAAGAATATTTACAAAATGTAAAGTACAAACATATATAGTAAGTGTAATATTTATTACTACTTTAATAATATGTTTAGGAAAATGTTAATCACTGAAAAAATATTACAAATAAATGAAGAAAATATGTGTAAGTAATATATACAAGAGATTATGGATAATGTTACTAGTGAATAGGGGCTATTTGAAGAGAACTGCTAATTCAAGCCTACTTCTACCAAATGTGCTTCTCAAAAGCCAGCTATCCTGTGTGAATAACAGCTACTTTAAATCTAGACTTAGTCTTTAATGTTATATAGCATTTATTAAGTCTTGGTTGTATGTCAGACATTGTGCAAAGAGTTATACTTGTGTTGATCTCATTTTTTTCTCATTTTAAAAATATCCGTTTAGGTAGGTACTCCAATTTATTTCCACATCAAAGAAGAAGGAACTACTGCATAAAGAAGTTGAGTAACTTGCCAAGTACGTACAGAAAAATGATAAAGAAACTCGTGGTGGCAATCTTAAGGATCTCTGCCCCCCAGAGCCTACTATATTAAACCCGAGGATAGATCACCCCATTAGAGTTCATCTTATCCCTTATCCACCTGTAAGGGACTGACATAAACCACAGACTGCCCAAAACAGGTTGACACAATATGAAATTGTGTAAAAGACATTAGATAATACAGGATCAAGTGATACAAGCAGATGTTCTGTATGAAAATAGTGCATGCCTATGCATGTGTCTGTGAATAAGCAGAGATGACAGGGGTTTTTTGTTGTTGTTGATAAAGCTCTTAAAATTAGAAATTCTATATCTTTAGCAGTGCCTTAAAATTGTCTCTTCTGAGCTCTGTTATTACCAAATATAATCAATAGTATATCAATAGTTTCTTTTAAAAAGTTACTTGTACAAAATACTGTTCAAAGCTTAGCAGAGTGATCTTTAAATTCCTGTGTATGGGTTTTAATTCAAAGCTCTCTGTAGAGAGAGCGCAAAATTTGTGCCTTCCGGTGCCATCCCAGTACATTGTTACTTAGCAGGAAACTTTAAAATAGTTGTCATGATCCCCTAGGATGGACAATTGGTCATGATTTGGCGTTATCATTTCATTCATTTAATACTATCACGGAATCAGATCCAGTTGTTGACAATTACAATGTAGTGTTTTATTTAGCTAGTATGGGTTTATTGGGTACCTACTAGGCACATCACTTCCTAGGAAGTGGAAGATAAATTCAAGAGATATTTCTTACATTCATTTCATTGTCTATCAGTGGAAGATAAGAAAAGTGCGTACATAACTGTAACAAAATTAAAAACAACTTAAGAGTTTTTTTGTGAGTATACGGTAATAGTATAAAATAAACAGCATAATCATATTCATTAATATACAAAAAATGAATGCCTATACAATAAATACAACAAAATATTATATAATAATATATCTAACATATAGGATAAATATGTTAAATTAAACATTTATGTTTAAGCCATGAGTATAGTTACTGAAGTAAAAGACATTTCAAATTTATGGTCTTTCTCATGTAATCCTTTTCCTTTTCCTACCCAGAGAAAGTGGCAAGTGCCTTCAAATAAAATGGCACAGGTAAGAAGTTTTCAGAGTACTACTGTAGAGCAGAGATTTCTGTCAGCTTGTTAGGGGAAACAAAGGATGGAAAAGGTTTCAAGAGAGATATCTGATATTTGATACACATCTCAGAAGTATGGTGTACCTGGACATGTGGGATGAGTAGTGTGCACAAAGGTGAACAGTGTCATGCACAAATAAATTTTGATCTTTTTGAAACATTTCAGAAATGTGACCAGAATTAAGAAATTCCTCAAACTGTTGAAGGTAAATTTTAGATTGATTTGTGTTCTTGAATTTAATAGAAAATGAAATGAAGAAATCATATTGACAATATAGACTGAAAGATGTTGTAAAATAAATTTTTGCCCAAAAACAAGGGTCTGAACTTGTGACTTTAATAATTCTGAACTCAAGATGACTGAAAAGTTAGTCTGCTCTTCCCAAAAAATTTTTGAGGCTATCGCTAAATATATGATTAATGTATTTGTGAAATCCAGTGAGTTCAGAAAAAGCAGCAATGTTTGAAACAAATCTAGCATATTCAAATATATTTATGATAAACAATGACAATAAAATATACTTTGCTTAATTTCACACAAAGTGAGCAAGCATGCTATCTACTTTAACAAAGTTGTTTATTCCTTTTACAATAGGATTTTCTTTAGATACCTTGTTTCCTTTTCCTACCAAAAACATTTGACTTTGCAGAAGACGTATTTGATATATGTTTAAATTATATAATTTTAAAATATGTAAATATTTTTTAAAAGGAATTACACAATATTAAGAAAATAAAATATCCACCAAAGAATGACATCTTGTATCCACTTATGTACACGTTATCCTACAGACCGTAATGGTCACTCCTGAGAATCATGCTGTCTTTGCACACTTCATTACTATCAGTATAAATCTTCAAATTTGTTATTTTATGTGTCACCTAATGAAGAAACACATTAACGCTCCTCTAGTAGGAACTACAGGTATAAGATCAAATTTTAAAGAGGCCAATAAGCTCATACTTAGACGGAACTCTCAATTTGATGCTCTATAATTCAGTTCCCTCAGTGTCTATAAAATTATTCTGAAGTATAGACTCTGGAGAGAAAGAAACCCCAGATTATTTTAAAATAAAACTAAAAACTTTTTTCAAGGGCAAGCAATGAAGCAAACTAAAAGTTAACCCACACTCGTGTAATGATTGGTTTTTCTTTTAGATTAAAATATAAAATAAATCCAAGTGTACGTTATGTATTGACTATCATAGGTTTTCAAATTTCTTACCTGAAGTTTCCAGCAGAAACTTCAACAGCACTTATTTGCCATTCGGAAGAATTTGAACATAAATCCTAACTGAGTAAGAGGAATATGATGAAGATTCTGATCTTAAATGGAGAACAGATTACACTTCGCATTCCTCACCCATTACTATATGAAGCAGATTAACCTTTTCCTAAAGGTGCTTTAATCTGTTGTTTGCCAGGCATCTGTTTGCACTGAATGTTGTCTTTGCTGTCATGGTCTCTGCTGCACACCCCCAACTACCACCAGCATCACCAACCAGGTATGTCCAGATTTATCTGAAATAATGACTTATAACAACTAACAATCTTGGGATTATTATTAAAAAGTATGTGAAACTAATTTTTCTCAAATACATGCAACATAAAATTATAATTTTATTATTAATTATAAATATAATTAAAAGAAAGTGTCTTTAATTTATTTTGCTGAATTTTGTAATGATGAGAATGGGTTTTTAAAAAATCTTTGCCATTTATATATAAATACTAATAGAAATATAGATATAGATATAGATATAAATATAAATATAAATATAAATAAAGATAGTAATTTAGGTCACTAAATAAGTGTTTTAAAGTTGTATACCTTCGTTATTCAGCATCCTTGGGTATGAAACTTACTGTTGTGTTTCTTTATGAAACTGTTTTGAAGTAGTAAAAAATAAATTGATTTAGTATTTATTTTGGCATGGTGTGCCAAATATGTCATATTTAGTAATAACTAAGTACTAGTATAGAACATTACCAGTCATTGTTTTAATTGATACACAAAGGTGGCAATAAAATTCACACAGGTCATAAGTAGGGAATCGTCCCTCAGAGACACACTTGTGTGATGATACTGGAGAGGAGACGGAGGAGAACGTGGAGGCACCACACAGCTCTTCATGTCTGCTTGGACTGCACACATGTGACTACAAAGATTGCTTGTTAATTCATGAGGTGCAGATTCAATTTAGATAAAAGAAAATCAGTGCATGTTTTACAGAATGATTTCTCCATCTTTGAATTGCTAATATAATTTACTTAGTAGCTAAATAGAATAAGTCTTTGAAAACATATTTCAACACGAGCCCTCAGATAAAAACTTTTCTGAGTCTTTGAACATCTAGTAATCTATCTTCTGCTTTCACACCTGGAAGCCAGCATGAGTGATAAGTAATTTCTTTGATCCCTATATTTTTTACTGAAAATCTGTTAGATGATACACTATTGATTTTTTACAATCCCTATCTTTGTGATATTGAAGTCGATAACTTTTTTCTGCCAAAATGCCAGTGAGTGTGAGTGTTTGTGTATTTGATTTATATTATTGCTACAAATTCTTTCTGTCCCAATGTGTCTAGGTAATAAAATTCATTTGATATATATGTATCCTATTTTTAAATATTGTTTATGAATATTCATGTCGTATAAAGCTGACTGTCACCATCATGCCCAAGATGTGATGGCAATATCCATACTGACAGCATGCCCATTACCACAAATTGAGATTATTTCCCAAGTCCCCCACCCAATTATCCCTGACCACCCTCTCTATCCCACTTTCCCTATTCCACTTTGTATCCCTAGTTATGCTTTCTCCCTCTATAAGTCCAATGAACTACTATGGTATTTCCTTCCTTCTTTCTCTCTTAGCTCCCACTTACGAGTGACTACATGTGGTATATATTCCTCTGTGCTTTGCTTATTTCACTCAGCATAATCTTCTATAAGCTTATCCTTGTTGCTGAGAATGGCAGAATTTCATTTTTTTTTCTGGTAGAGTAGTATTCCAGGGTGTACGTAAACCACAGTTTCCATATCAAATAATCCATCAATGGACATTTAGGTTGGTTTCATATCTTGGCTATTGTAAACAGAGCTGTGATGAACTTGGGAGTGTCAGCATCACTTCGACATGATGATTTCTATTCCTTTGGGAATATACCAAGAGGTGGGATTGCTAGATTATAGGGAAGATTTATCTGTAGTTTTTCAAGAATTCTCCATACTGTTTTCCATAGTGGTAGTACTAATTTACAGTTCCACGAACCATGTAGGAGAGTTCCTTTCTCTCCACATCCTCGCCAGCATTTGTTATTCTCTGTCTTTTTGATTATAGCCAGTCTAACTGGGGTGAGTTGATATCTCAGTGTGGTTTGAATTTGCATTTCCCTGATGACTAGTGATGTTGAACATTTCTTCATGTACCTGTTGGCCATTTGTATGTTTTCCTTTGAAAAATGTCTATATAGCTCCTTTGCTTAGTTTTTAATTGGGTTATTATTATTATTATTATTATTATTATTATTATTATTATTATTTACTGTGTAATTGCTTGAGTTCTTTTGCATTCTGGATATTAATCCCTTGTTGGATGCATAGTTAGCAAAAATTTTTTCCCACTCTGTAGATTGTCATTTCACTGACAAAATTTTGATTGTTTCCTTTGCTGTGCAGAAGCTTCTTAGTTTGATATACTCCCATTTGTTTATTTTTTTCTCTTGTTGCTTATACTTTCCGGCTCCTGTTCATAAAGGCTGTGCCCAGACCTAGTTCCTGATGTGTTTCACATATACTTTCCCTTAGTAATTTTACAGTTTCAGGTCTTATACTTACGTCTTTAATCCATATTGATTTGATTTTAGTATATGGTGAGAAGCGCATGTCAAGTTAAAATTCTTCTGCATGTGGATATCCAATTTTCCCAGCACCACTTATTGAAGAGGCATTCTCTTCCCCAATGTATGCTTTAGTTGCCTTGTAAAAAAACCACATGGCTGTAAGCCAGAGGGAATGCTTTCTGGGCTCTCTATTCTGCTCCAGTGGTCCTAGTGTTAATTTTTATGCCAGTGACATGCTGTTTTGGTTACTGTAGTTTTGTAGTATGATTTGAAGTGTTATGCCTCCAGGTTTTTTATTGTTGTTCAGAATTGCTATGGCTATTTGGGGTCTTTTCTTGTTCCTTATGAATGTTAAGATTGTTTTCTCCATTTCTGCGTGAATGCCATTGGTATTTTGATGGCATCATATATACATTTTCACAATGTTAATTCTTCCAATCCAAGACGATGAAATATCTTTCCATCTTTTTGTATCTTCTTTAATTACTTTCAGTAGTGGTTTGTAGTTCTCACTATACAGACCTTTCACCTCCTTGGTTAAATTGATTCCTAGGTATTTTCTTTTTTTTTGGCAGCTGTTGTAAATGGGCTTACTATCTTGATTTCTCTTTCTGTTAGCTTATTATTGGAGAATATAAATGCAACTGATTTGAGGGCATTTATTTTGTATCCTGCAACATTACTGAAATTATTAACCAGCTCTAGGAGTTTTTGGATAGAGTCTTTAGTTATTTCTATATATACTATCACAACATCTGCAAATAGGGACTGTTTGACTTCATCTTTTCCAATCTCATTGCCCTTTATTTCTTTCTCTTCCTTGATTGATCTGGCTAGTACCTCCAGTATTATGTTACATAGAAATGGTAAGAGTGGGGATCCTTGTCTTGTTCCTGTACTTAAGGGAAAAGCCTTGTTTTTCCCAATTCAGAATGATAATGGCAGTGGGCTTGTTGTAGATGGCTTTAATTGTTGAGATACCTTCCTTCTATACCTAATTTTTTGAGAGTTTTAATCATGAATTTGATGTTGAATTTTATCAAATGCTTTTTCAGCATCTATTGAGATAATCATATGGTGTTTTCCTTGATTTTGTTGATGTGACTTTTGTTGATATCGACTTTCGTACATTGAACCATCGTTGCATCCCTGGGATGAATCCCACTTGATCATGGTGTATAATTTTTTTGATGTGTTGCTGTATTCTGATTGTTAATATTTTGTTGATGATTTTTGCCTCTATATTCATCAAGGATATTGGCCTGTAATTTTCTTTATTTGTTATGTCTTTATCTGGTTTTGGTATCTGAGTTATGTTGGCCTCATAGAATGAGTTTGGGAGAATGGCTTCTCAATTTTTGGGGAAAATGGCTTCTTAATTTTTTAGAATACTTTGAAGAGAATTAGTATTAATTTCTCTTTAGAGATTTGATAGAATTCAGCTGTAAAGCCATCCAGACCTAGTATTTTCTTTGTAGGAAGATTATTACCACTTCAATCTTGTTGCTTGTTATTGGTCTTTTCAGGTTTTCTATCTCTTATTGGATCAGTCTGGGTAGTTTTTTGTATCCAGAAGTTTATCCATTTCAGCCAGATTTTCATATTTTTTGTCACATAGTTGTTTATAATATTCTCTAATGATTCTTTGTATTTCTTTGGTATCAGTTGCAACGTCTGCCTCTTTATTTCTGAAATTTGTTATTTGGGTTTTCTACCTTCTTTTTTTTTTTTTTTTTGCTAACGTAGCTAATGGTTTGTCTATCTTATTTTTCTTCTCAAAAAACCAACTTTTTGTTTCATTGATCTTTTTTATCATTTTTTGTGGTTTCTATTTCATTTACTTCTGCTCTGATCTTAATTAGTTCTTTCCAAATACTACCTTTAGAATTGGATTGTGGTTTTTTTTCTAGTTCTTTGAGGCATAGTGTTAGGTAATTTATTTGAAGTATTTCCATTCTTTTGATGTGAGCATTTATGACAATAAACTTCCCTCTTAGTACTGCTTTTGCAGTATGCCCAAGGTTTGGTTTGATACATCTTTATTTTTATTAGTTTAAATAAATTTTTGGATTTTGTATTTAATTTCTTCTTGGACCCATAGGTCTTTCAGAGCCTTTTGTTTAGTTTCCATTCATTTGTATAGCATCCAGGATTTTTCCTGTTATTAAATTCCAGTTAGTCCATAGTTGTCTGAAAAGATACTTGGAATGATTTCAATTTTTTAAAATTTGCTGAGACTAGATTTGAGACCTTATATGTGTTTATCCTGGAGAATGTCCCATGTGATAATGAGAGGAAAGTATATTCTTTAGTTGTTCTGTGAAATGTTCTGCATGTATCTGCAAAGTCCAATCAGTCTAAGGTGTAGATTAAACCCTATGTCTCTTTGTTGATTTGTTGCCTGGAAGATCTGTCCTATACTGAGAGAGG